GAAACACAGGTGTTGATTTCTGAGACATTCCAGTCTCCTTCTCAAGACCGAACGTGTTCTCTACTTCTTCATCGTCGTCAATGAATTCCAGAAATATAGGTGTTAATTCCTGAGATATTTCAGCCTCCTTCTCAAGACCGAACTTGTTTTCATTAAACAGAACGTCTCTGCTGTAAATCACCCGATTAGTTTTCAAATTGTATAGGCGATAACCCTTGACATCGATTCCGTACCCCAGAAAAACGCATTTCTGTGTTTTTGAATCGAACTTCTGTCTTTCGTCTTTAGGAATGTGTGCATACGCAACACATCCAAACACTTTCAGGTGATCGACACTGGGTTTCGTACCAGTAAACACCTCAAATGGTGTAGTACCTTGAAGAACGTTAACAGGACTTCGATTCTGCAGATATACAGCTGTTGACACTGCTTCTGCCCAGAATTTTCGTGGGAGCTGTGCCTCAGCCAGCATGGAACGTGCTGCTTCCACAATAGTCCTGTTCTTCCTCTCCGCTACTCCATTCTGTTCTGGTGTTTTCGGAACAGTCAGTTCATGACGGATCCCCTCTTTCTTTAAATAACCTTCAAATTCATTTGAAGTAAACTCTCCACCGTTATCGGTGCGTAGGGCCTTAAGATGTTTTCCAGTTGACCTCTCAACCATTGCTTTCCATTCAAGAAAACACTTAAAAACATCATCCTTGTGCTTAAGGATATAAACCCAAGTGTATCGACTGAAATCGTCAATAAAAGTAAGGAAATAGTGAGCTCCACCAAGTGATTGTGTGCTGACCTTCCCGCAGACATCACTGTGAACCAGGTCAAGTATCCCATTTCTTACCCTTCCACTTGACGGAAACTTGGTCCTGTGATGTTTGCCCTTTGCACATGGTTCACACAGTTCCCTATTTGACCGCTCATCATACTCTAGACCATCCACTAGATTTCCTACAGCCAACTTCTTGAGATTTTCAAAACCTAGGTGTCCGTAGCGTCTATGCCACAGTTCCTCACTTGTTTCTTTACCTCCGTTTGCTGTATTACATCGATGTTCATTGGCATAATGACACAAATGGTACAAACCACGTGACCGCACTCCCTTTGCAAGAAGTTTACCGTTATTATCTTTTATTTCACAACCTTTGATATTGAAATAAACTTTCTTTCCAGCCTCAATTGCGTGGTCAATACTGAACAGATTACACCTGAGTTCAGGCACATAAAGCACATCATGCAGCGTGCATTCTTGGTGCTTATTACCAGGCAACTTCATCCTTAGTTTGACAACACCACAGGCATGTGCCTTCAGATTCCGTCCATCTCCGAGTCCTATATTCAGAGGCTCTTCCAAGTTTGTCAACTGGACAAATTCAGATCTTCTGCAACACATATGACCTTTAGGTGACTGTCAAGTGCTGTGTTCCAGCATCGAGGAGACTGTTTTAGTCCATATAAACTTTTCTTCAATTTACATACAAGGTTTTCCTTTCCTTGTTCAACAAACCCTTCTGGTTGTTTCATGAATACTTCTTCCTCCAACACTCCATTCAGAAATGCTGTCGTCACGTCCATTTGATGCAACCGTAAATTGTATTTTGCAGCCATAGCAATGACTGTGCGCACTGACTCAGGTCTAATAACTGAACAGAATGTCTCATCATAGTCCAATCCATACTTCTGTGAATCATAGTCCAATCCATACTTCTGTGAGTATCCTTGAGCAACTAACCGAGCCTTATGTCTCTCAATTTTTCCCTCAGCATTTACTTTGATCTTAAACACCCATTTGCTTCCTACAGCTTTTCTTCCTTCTGGCAGTTCTACTAAGTCCCAGACTTCGTTTTCTTGAACTCGCCATGGCCTGTCTCGCTGTACTGGGTTCTTCCAGATCCCGAGTCAAGTTTAACCACTCACCATATCGATTTGGTGGGCGTTTAACTCTCGCCGATCGTTTAACACTCGCCGATCGTCTGACATCTAGCTCCTCATCTGGTTCATCAACACCTTCATCATCAGGATCATCAACACGATTCACTTCTTCATCGACGTCATTATCAATGAATTCCCGAAACACAGTTGTTGATTTCTGAGACATTCCAGTCTCCTTCTCAAGACCGAACGTGTTCTCTACTTCTTCATCGTCGTCAATGAATTCCAGAAATATAGGTGTTAATTCCTGAGATATTTCAGCCTCCTTCTCAAGACCGAACTTGTTTTCATTAAACAGAACGTCTCTGCTGTAAATCACCCGATTAGTTTTCAAATTGTATAGGCGATAACCCTTGACATCGATTCCGTACCCCAGAAAAACGCATTTCTGTGTTTTTGAATCGAACTTCTGTCTTTCGTCTTTAGGAATGTGTGCATACGCAACACATCCAAACACTTTCAGGTGATCGACACTGGGTTTCGTACCAGTAAACACCTCAAATGGTGTAGTACCTTGAAGAACGTTAACAGGACTTCGATTCTGCAGATATACAGCTGTTGACACTGCTTCTGCCCAGAATTTTCGTGGGAGCTGTGCCTCAGCCAACATGGAACGTGCTGCTTCCACAATAGTCCTGTTCTTCCTCTCCGCTACTCCATTCTGTTCTGGTGTTTTCGGAACAGTCAGTTCATGACGGATCCCCTCTTTCTTTAAATAACCTTCAAATTCATTTGAAGTAAACTCTCCACCGTTATCGGTGCGTAGGGCCTTAAGATGTTTTCCAGTTGACCTCTCAACCATTGCTTTCCATTCAAGGAAACACTTAAAGACCTCATCCTTGTGCTTAAGGATATAAACCCAAGTGTATCGACTGAAATCGTCAATAAAAGTAAGGAAATAGTGAGCTCCACCAAGTGATTGTGTGCTGACCTTCCCGCAGACATCACTGTGAACCAGGTCAAGTATCCCATTTCTTACCCTTCCACTTGACGGAAACTTGGTCCTGTGATGTTTGCCCTTTGCACATGGTTCACACAGTTCCCTATTTGACCGCTCATCATACTCAAGACCATCCACTAGATTTCCCACAGCCAACTTCTTGAGATTTTCAAAACCTAGGTGTCCGTAGCGTCTATGCCACAGTTCCTCACTTGTTTCTTTACCTCCGTTTGCTGTATT